TACACGTGCACACAGACACATGTGCACACACATGTGCACACACGTACACACATATACACCTACACACGTGCACACATGTACACACCCATCTTTAGGGTGGGATCACATCTCTGCATGTCTACGCTTTGCCATATTTCGCCACCTTCCTCCTGTGAACTTGGACTGTTCTCACTTTCATTAAAATGTAATGAAGACCTGGCAACGCCCTCAGACACAAGGAGCACGAGAGCGACTCCGCCTCCTGAGCAGGAAAGGCGGCCGCAGGGAGAGCAGACGGGGGTCTTGGGTCAGAACAACAATGGTGCTCTTCAGGGAATAAAGGACACCCCCAGGGGGAGGCATGCACAGGGTCCTTGCTGTGCCCGGCTGCCCGGCTGGTCGGGGCCTTCATCCGAAACCCAGGCGTGCACCCTGGAGGATGCTGACGTGACCGAAGATGGCCAGTCCTGCTGTCACCTCCAACACACCTGGGCGCCTCCCGGGTGGCCCCAGGGTCCTCTCTCCAACTCTGTTCTCACCACCCTCTCCCCACGTCTCCCTGCCTGCCCGCCAGGAAGACGCAGAGGACGCCCTCCTGACGACGCTCCACCTAGGAACAGCGCGGCACTGCCACCAGCCAGACGACACGCCTGGGCCGCACGCACGGCACAGCTCCCCACTGGGTCCCAGTCCCCCCCCATAGCGGGACGCAACGCACCCCACATCACAGCAGACTCCCGCAGCCAGCCGGACCCGACGGCCAGCCTGCCCTGCGCGTCTAAGGCCGTGTCTTTTCCCAGTGACTTGGAAACTAATTGAGAGGCTTAAACTGTCCTTAAGACTGACATTTGGAAACAGATTCTCCACAGCGGCACTAGGCCCCCAGATGAATTTCAGAAACACACACAGGCTGGTCCCAGACCCTTCGGACGCGTGATTTCCCCTCCTGGGCAGGATCTATTTCTCCCACGGGTCGAGTCATCATCTCCTCTCATGTGGCCCCCGGAAGGTCTTCACTGGGTTAGTCCTCAGCCAAGGATATTTTCCATAGATTTTCAGAGCGAGTGGCAGGGAGGGGAGGAGGAAAGGAGAGAGAACCATCCATGTGAGAGAGAAACATCGATTGGTTGCCTCCCACACTTGCCCTGACCAGAGCTGGGCATCCAACCTGCAACCCAGGTATGTGCCCTTGACCAGGAATCGAACCTTTGACCCTTTGGTCTGTGGGCCGACGCTCTAACCGCTGAGCAACACAGCCCAGGGCGTCTCCGGAGTTTTGAAAAATAAACCCAGTGACTTTCTCTGTGGATACAGACAGCGATGCCCCGCCCACGGAGGGGGCCTGGACCCCGTAAATCCTGGTGTTCCAACACTCGTTGCCCTTCAACTTCAAGGAATAACAAAAAGTCTTTGAAGACAGAAGCCAAGCACGGTGAGCCCCGTCAGAGCACAGCCCAATGACCCTCGCGTCCGTAGGTCAGCAAACGCAGGGGTTCCTTGTTCAGTCCTGCTCGGCAGTGTCCATGGCCACGGAAATGCAGAAGGAAACACGGACCAGGGCTCGTCCACCTCGCACTGCCCACATCTGGGGCCCGTCCACCTTTGCTGTGTGTCCGTGCTGGGCAGAGTGAGGGGCCTGGCAGCATCCCTGCCTCCGTCTAACCAGGAGATGTCGTCACAGCCCTGAAAAATGACGACTCATGGCCGAGTGGCCCCTGGGTCCAGAACCCCAGAATCAGGGCAGCTGTGCAGGCCACAGCTGCTCATCTGGGTGCAGCAGGCCCCCCTCCAGGTGCCGAGCCTCAGACACCTGCGGAGCCTTGGCGAAGCAGCGCGCCCGCATTCTGACTCGACGGCCACGGGCCTCGTCTCACCTTGACACGTGCCACCCAAGAGGCAGACATCCAGCAGGTGTGTCCTTCTAGGTGAGGGTCCCGCGGCGTCCTTGCGCGGGGCCCGTGAGTTGGGAATGGCACCGACCGTCTTAGATATTTGAAACGAAAACCTGGAGTCGTATCGTGCGCCCCATGACGTGGATACGACTGTCCAATCCAAGTGTCCCTAAATAAAGTCTTGGGGGCACTCAGCCGGGCTCACGTGCTTCCGCGCCGTTGACAGGTGATTGACGGACAGCTGTCTTCACACTCCAGATGGAGAGCCCAGCGGTGGCGACAGAGACGGGCTGACCCCCAGAGGCTCAACTGCTTCCTCTCTGTCCTCTGTCACCTCCTGGAGGTTTTCGGCTTCCACGTCAGAGAACAACAGCCTTGTCCCTTCCCGACCTGAAATCCTCCTGTTGGATCACCTGAAGGAGATGACCCGGCACGTGGACACTCCTCATGGACACACAACCACTTTAAAACCGAGAGCCCAGGAAATAGCACCCACGCTGCTGGGACAGCTTTCCAACGGGGACACGTTGACAGTAGGTAAGTCTTTCACGAACAGGTCCTGCCCTTCCTCACTGAGGCACAGCACCCAGGACGAAGAGCACAAATGCGTCATATTCAGTGACCCCAATCCTATGGGGGCACCATTGGTGCTGTGCTAGGTACGCAGCAGGGTGTCTTCCCCAGCATGACCCAAATGACCGTACGCATGTATAAGCTGCACCGCGACTTATCCGAGGCTCCAACAAAATCCAGCGTCATCCACAAAGCAAGACACCAGTGCCTGACACGCAGTAGGAACTCAGTTCATCTGAGGCCTGTGTTCCCCGAGCACCAAATTCACACCCAGTGAAAACCTCGATGACCAACGTACTTCCGCATCGTTGACAGTTGATTGACGGACAGCTGCCTTCACACTTCAGATGGAGAGCCCAGCGGTGGGGACAGGGACGGGCTGACCTCCAGAGGCTCAATTGCTTCCTCTCTGTCCTCTGTCACCTCCTGGACCTCTCCCCTCTTCCCTCTGACACTCAGAATACGGTTCAAGATAATTTCGACAGATACTGCCAGATGGGGCAGCTGCCCTGGAAAAGCCTAATGATTCCTCAGACAGTTAAACACAGTGTTTCCTTACGACCCAGCAATTCTGCTCCCTCGTATATGCACAAGATAAATAAAGACACAGGTCACAGCAGCAGTGTTCCTAATGGTGGGAAAGTGGCTACAACTCAGTGCCCACCAACTGGTGGATGAAGAAACAAAATGGAGTGTAAACATACAATGGAATATTATTTGGCCATGAAAAAGATTCGTGCAATGTATGGATGAAGCGTGAAAACACGATTCTATGTTAAAGCCAGCCACAAAGTCAACGTAACACGTCATCTATTTTTGTTTCTATGAACACACTACACTTTTCAAATAGTTAAGTAAAACATCAAAATTCTTACACAAGTGTAAGAGAATCTTTTGCCTTTGTTAAGACAATTTTTACGCATTTGGTTTTAAACAAAAGTACCTCAGTAAGATTCTTACTTGGTTAAAATTTAGGTGTGTTATTTACGTTCCGATTGGGTCATTTAAAACAATAAAGTAAAACTTTTTCCCAAATTTCCACCTTTATGTCTTCAATTTTTTTTTTTTTTTTAATCCTCACCCGAGGACATTTTTCCATTCTTTGCTCAGATAGAGTGGGGGGGGGGGGGAGGGAGAGAGAGAGAGAGAGAGAGAAAGAGAGAGAGAGAGAAACATCGACGTGAAAGAGACACATTGAGTGGCTGCCACCCGCATAACCCAACCAGGGCCGGGGACAAACTGCAACTGAGGTACGTGCCCTTAGCGGGAACCGAACCCGGGTCTCTCTGGACCACAGGCTGACGCTCTAACCGCTGAGCCAAACTGGCCAGGGCCACCTTTATGTCTTCAAAATAACAAAGTTCTGGGGGATTAAAAAAAAATTATATAAAGGACCAGAATATAGAAAAAGAAAAAAAAAAATCAAACCATAAAATCCCATCTATCATAAGAAAGCAGTGTTTATAGAACTTTTTTTGGGGGGGGGGGCATCACTTTTAATTTGGGATGTGGGCTTCAACCCTTGACCCCTGTACGCCTGTGACTGGTTGGCTCTTGCGAAAACGTGGTCATCTTACTAGATCTCTATATCGTAATCTGTGTTTTCCTAACAGTTTCAAGGTTAAACCAGCAAATCAATGTGCAGGTAGACACAAATCATATTAAGAAACCAAGACAGCATATAATTAAGGGAGAAGAGCCACATAAAATCTATACGCATGTGCACAATGACAATGACTTTGTCAGCTTCATTGTAACTCACAGTGCTGACAAGAGACGCATTTCAGAAGCTGTCATCCCTTCCCAGGAAGACCTAGAAAGGTTGGTCACAGCTCACCCAGTACCCCAAATTCCTGGAAGGCAGCCAAGTCCAATTCGTCATGGAGAATGGACAATCTAGCCCTTAAAGACTCGATGAGCCCTGGCCAGTTTGGCTCAGCGGTTAGAGCGTCAGCCTGCGGTCCAGAGAGACCCGGGTTCGGTTTCCGCTCAGGGCATGTACCTCGGTTGCAGTTTGTCCCCGGCCGCAGTTGGGGTAATGTGGGTGGCAACCGCTCGAGGTGTCTCTCTCACATTGATGTTTCTTTAAATTAAAGAATAAAAAATAGCCCTGGCTGGTTTGGCTCAGCGGTTAGAGCATCGGCCTGCGGTCCAGAGAGACCCGGGTTCGGTTCCCGCTAAGGGCGCGTGCCTCGGTTGCAGTTTGTCCCTGGCCCTGGTCGGTTGTGCGGGTGGCGGCCACTCGATGTGTCCCTTCACGTCGATGTTTCTCTCTCTCTCTCTCTGTTCCTCTCTCTCCCTCCCACTCTACCTGAACAAAAAATGGAAAAGTGTCCTCGGGTGAGGATTAAAAAAAGAATAAAAAATAAATAAAATAAAATAAAGACTGGATGATGCTCTCTCTTATCCACGCTACCTTCAAGTTCAGCGGGGAGAAAGACCCCTGTCTTCCTCCTGAAGAAATCACCGTCCAACAGAAAGTGTTCCCTTTTGGCAACAGGCAGATCCGTTTCGCGAGAAGATTTCGGTCAAGAGGCAGAGAGGCGGGGTGCTTACCTTCAGGGTGACTTCATGTGTAGACCTCTGGACCAGTGGGTTCCCCAGCATCCGATCATAGGAACCGCAAAGCGTCTGCCTGGGGAGAAATGCGAGATTTGTAAAATACAAACAATCAGAAAAACCACCTCAAAAATCTTCGGCAAGGATTCACCTCTGACCTCTCCTACCCCTTTGTGTTTTCCTTCAAATCGATGCCCGTTTGTCCTTTGCATCCCAACGCAAGCATAACAGCTCACTGCTTCATAACCTCCGTGTGACAGACTCGAACACAGACCTTGTGGCTTCACTTGCCCAGCGAAAAGGGAGAAATGAAAACGGCCGGTCAGGTTATTATTGTACGTGCAGAAGCTCCGAAGGCAAAACGTCTAAAAGTAGATACAATTAATTTTAGCTCCGCTATCGCAATCACTCCATGATAAACGCGCGCCCCTCTGAAATATGTTTTCCAAACAGCGCCCCCTGTCCTCAGTCCTGTGAACCACGGACGCCGTCAACAAGCAAACACGGCACAGCGTGGGCGGTGCAACACGATGAGAGGCATGCCACATGCGTAGGCCACCTCGTACACACCGCGCTCACGAAAACACAGAAACCGCCTTCGAATCCCGGTTCCCTTTTGTCTTCCCTAAAACCCAGCAAGGCAGACGCACTAGGTTGGCTCCGCTTTGCCCTGTTTTTTGGTTAACCCTCGCCCGAGGACACGTCTCCATCGATTTTGACAGACAGCGGAAGGGAGCGAGGGAGACAGAGAAACACGGATGTGAGAAAGACACGCTGTCGCCTCCCACACTGGCAGGTCTGAGGCCAGGGATCAAACCTGCAACCCAGTACCTGCCCTTGACTGGGAGTCAAACCCGAGACCCCTTGGTGCGTGGGCCAGTGCTCTTCCCACGGAGCGACACCGGTCAGGGCTCAACTCTCTCCTTGTACTGACTCTTCCTTCCCACGGGGCTGCCGGCTCAGCGAACCCTGCCCCTCAAACGTGCCCCTCCTTTCCAGCCGACGGGCACCCTGAGCAGCCCGCGACTCGTCCCCAAGGGGTGGGTCTCCTTCCTCTGAAACCTCTCTGCTTGGAGGCCCCCCACAGGGTAAACGACCAGGCCCTTCTCTCTGTAAGCTCAAGGGCTCGAGAGTGAAACGCCCACCGTTCTCTCCAACCTCTTGGTCAATAATCTGAAGTGATGAGAAACAAGGCGAAGTAACGGCGCCAGGTCGACGACCCAAACCCACACGGACGAAGGGGTCTCTCATGAGCGACACTACACAGAACCTCATGAAATGTTTTAAAGCCATTCAACTTATTCCCACTGACTCACGTCTATGGTTATGCCATTTAAAGAAAGCGGATGAGCCCTGGCCGGTTTGGCTCAGCGGTTGGAGCGTCGGCCTGCGGTCCAGAGAGACCCGGGTTCGGTTCCCGCTAAGGGCATGTACCTCAGTTGCAATTTGTCCCTGGCCCTGGTTGGTCGTGTGGGTGGCAGCCACTCGATGTGTCCCTTCACGTCGATGTTTCTCTCTCTCTCTCTTCCTCTCTCTCCCTCCCACTCTATCTGAACAAAAAATGGAAAAATGTCCTCGGGTGAGGATAAAAAAAAAAAATAAAGTGGATGAAGCCCTGGCCAGTGTGGATCAGCGGTTAGAGCGCCAGTCCGAGCACTGAAGGGTCTCGGGTTCGATTCCCAGTCGAGGCACGGTCCTGGGTTGCAGGTTTGATCCCATGCCCTGGCCGGGGTCGTGAGGAAGGCAACCAATCGATGTCTCTCTCTCACACTGATGTTTCTCTCTCTCTCCCCCCTTCTCTCCCTCTAAAAGTCAATGGAAAAAATATCTTCCAGTGAAGATTAACAAAAAAACAAACAAACAAAAAGAACGGAGATTAAAAAAGGTTCCCCAGGCTGGTTCATTACAGTATATTTAAAATAAAAACGGAAGGATCTATAAGGGAAAAGAATCAACCAGGGTGATTAAAAAAAAAAAAAATCTAACACCGAAAGCAAACGATGATATTTAAACATTTCTCTACAACTCTTGTACTAGAAATTCAAGGGTACCAGAGAAAAGCAGGTACAAGGGAACGTTGATTTTGCTTATAAAATAAAAATACACTTCAGGCCCTGGCCGGTTTGGCTCAGCGGTTGGAGCGTCGGCCTGTGGACCAGAGAGTCCCGGGTTCGGTTCCCGCTAAGGGCACGTACCAAAAAAAAAATAATAAATACACTTCAGTGTGAGGAAGTCTGTCGTGGAGATTGGGTTACTCCTTCTAGTAACCCAAAGCAGCAAGCAAATCGCCACTTTCGGGATTGGACCGTAAATACCCAGGGGAAACAGCCTCTGGGTGAAATCACCAAATGCATAAACCATCAAAATGTGAGCAGCTGTCACCACAATAAGCCCCGAATGAAAACGAAAACATTAAAATCCATAATAATTCAATAAGTAATTAATATAGAAACAGCTCTTATTACAAGCTGTTCAGGGGAAAAAAAAAAAAAAAAAGCTTTAGAATCAAATTCTTATTCTTTGGCCCCCAAAACAGATGGCAACTCACAAATGAGAGTCTTGGAACGGAAGATGATCTTTTATATATGTTGTTAAACTCATTAAGCATAATGAACATTATCTATGTGTCATAAACACACACACACAAAAAAGGAGGAATGCGACTTTGGTTAGTAACATTCCTCTGGTTACGCAACACGTCACAATTAATTACTTTACTGTTGGAAACAATAAGTTAAAATGAGAAATCTGACCTTGCAATTAGTCATTACTGATTTCCCCATGATTAGTACCCAAATGAAGCACCATCAGTAAACGAGGACTGGGAAAAAGTACATACATTGCAAAATACTTGTGTGAAATGCAAATAATAAGTGCAATACATTCCTTATTCTTAAAGGTGTTAAACAGAAACAGGACTCATTTTCTGGATGCTGTCAGCCCTTGGCATGGCGTGCCGTGGACGAGACAGGCAGCGCCTCCGGCCATGCAGCACGTGGAACCCCTCAGCACGTTAACACCACGTGCAATTACCCCCTTGTCGAGTTGCAAAGCATTTCCATCCCTCTGCACCCCACCCCCACCCCCAGCCCTGGCAACCAGCAGTCTGCATTCTGTCTCGATGGGTCTGCCCATTTTGGACACAAATGGAAACAGACAATACCTCGTGTGTCTGGCTCCTTTCACTGAGCAGAATGTGTTCAAGGTTCATCCATGTTGTAGCATGGATCAGTACTGTATTCCTCTTCGGGGCTGCGTAATATTCCATCGCACGGACACATAGTCCGGCACTGGGCTCGTGCCCACCTCTGCCTACAGTGAGTGGTGCTGCTATGCCAGCACATGTCTGAGCCCCTTTTCCACCCCTCCAGGTGATACCTCGCGGAGGAACTACATTGTTGCCTGCACCCCAGGGCACGTACCTCTCTCCAGGACTGAAAGAGGCAAACAGGACAGGTGGAGGGAGGCCAAGCTGCAACGAGCCTGGACCTGGGAACACAGGGACCTGGGACAGATGCTCATGGTCTAGCTTGTGGCCCACAAAGGGGAGGAAGCCAGGAACCTGCCGGCGTGACAGCCACTCCTGGCCAATGACTGCCAATTGGAAAGATGACGAACAACGCACTGTTTCTCCCCTTGGACCAAACCGCCTTGCTCTCCCATTCGGAAGCTTTTCAGAGTACATCAGGCAACCAGAGGCAGCGGACTTCTTTGTCTTCAGCCCTGGTTGCCATTCAACAACCCCCACCCCCACGCCCTGTTGAGTTTAGCAGCAAAGTTCGAATTTGCAGTTGCTGGTTACATTCATCCGGACTCTTCCGGTGGTTGCCCAGGTAACTGCTGACCCACACAGGTCATCCCTAATGAAAGCACAAGCTCAGCCCAGTCTGTCCACACTTAAACACAGTGATTCTCCACCAGGGCCAACCGTGCCCTCCACCCAGCGGACAGTAGGCACTGTGTGGGGACGCTGCTCAGAGCCCGGGTGGGGGATGCTACGCCATCGAGGGGGCAGCGACCAGGGATGCCACTAACCAGCCTACAGCACGCCGGGCAGCCTCCCGGCATAAAAGACTGGCCCCCAAATGTCCACGAGGCCAAGGCTGAGAAACTTTATTTTCAGAGAATAGATTCTAGGAAAATGAACTTCATCTCTTCATGACTTCTGCCTGATTCTTGGTGTGAAATATTAGAAGGTGAAATAATACCTCCTGTCCACAGATCTCAGATTCAGGAAGAACTAAGGGACATGTTCACAGGTTGTCCTAACCCTTCCTTCTCGGTTGCCTAAGTGTTGAAAACAAACACAAAAATCCCTTACGGATCACTAAGTCAATGCAGTTTTATTGATCATAAGTTCAATGCTGAAATGTATAACTATCGATCCTGTCTCTTGCTACAGTAGAGTCAAATTTGCGTAATAAAATTCCCTTAGCTGCCGGGGCAGAGGTCAGCATGAAGGAGCACGGAGACCTCCTGCCTAGGGCCACGCCAGCTCCAGCCACAAGAGGGAGCCACCGTGTGGATGCTGCAGCTCCCCGCACACCCTAGAATGATGGCAGCCAGGGCCGACATCTGTCTGCAACCTCAAGACACTGCCCAGCCGGAGCCACCCAGCTCCGTCATTCCGGACCCTGAGGATCTAACCCGATGCGAAGGGCGGGGAGTAGAGATACCTGGGAAAAGGCCTTTCAGCAGCGTCTCTGCATCATTCCCCGTAAGGGGGCCCGGCTGTGCAGGGTGGGTGCCAGGGAAACCTCCAGCCAAATGCACCCGGGAGCTGAGCGACAGTCCGGGAGCCTCTGCCCACGCCCCTTCTTCACCGTGACACTTTCCAGGTCGTTAGGACACGTGTGGTAAGCGTCACCCGAAAGTGGTTCTGAAACCCAACAGGACCAGTCACCCTGGGTTCCATCAAGTCATTAAAAACCAATCATGCCATTCTTCCTACCGTCTGCCTGGCTGTCATCTAAGTGCTTTGAACTCATTCAGCTCCTTCCAACAAACGAAAGAACCCGGCGGCCAGACTGTCACCCTGTGTTTCCACTGAGGTGTGCCAGGCCCCACCGCCACCGGGGCGCGGCAGGTGCGTACCCGCTGTGAGTGATCACGCTGGGTCACGCGGGGTCACGTCTCCGAGCCACGGGCCCCAGCTTCCGACCGACTCTGAGCACACCCAGCACTCACGACCCACGTCCGTACGGGGGCTTTGCGTTGGGAGACGGGGTTCTCCAACAGGAGTATAAAACCCACGCGCACTCCTGTGCATGCTGGAAGCTTCCAGTT